AGGGGAGGTAGAGTCAGTGGCCTGTACCCAGGTTTCGGTGACCGCTAGGAGGTTGATGGGCTCTATATGACCTGTTGCAGGTTCCAATGCATATTGTGAGAAGCTCGCAGTGTGCAGTGAAATTAGAGTAAACCGTTTTGTTTAGAGAGAAGCTTGTACAACTGTGTGATACTGAAGGTAAGGATGGAGTTCAGATTTAAGGTGTAGGAAGACTGCTGAGTCCTGACCTGTAGAGTATACCCACCAGTGTTGGACCATTCATTTCTTGAGTGGTTGTCTTGACTCCCCAATGTGCACGTCTTTACATTCCTTACTACACCGCACTGCATCTACACAGTTACTTCTTGTGTTTGAGTATTGGGTCTTTTGGATGTTCTAGCTTCCATCTCAGTGTATTTCTGGGCTTGAAAAACAGACACCTGCTATCTCTCCTACCATTTGCTAAAATCCTCTCATGCTTCAACCACTTGAAGTATCGAATTAAGAGTGTTTCAGGCACTAGGAGTAATGGGTTAGGGGTCTTCAGACAGTCTCATATTTCAGGCACGGGGAGAAATGGATTAAGGGTCCTTAGACAGTCTCATGTTTCAGGCACTGGAAGTAAGTGTTAAGAATCTTTAGACAATGTCATGTTTTAGGCATGGGTCAAGTGCAGACGGTGAGGTTGAGACCACAAAGAGAAATATTTGCAGGACCAAAAAATGGGTGTCTTACTCTGACATAACAGACATTGATAGAAGCCAGGTCCAGCAATTTTACAGGTGGTCAGCATCGCTATAACGGCTGGAGAGATTTTTCTCTTAGCTAATTGGAACTTTTCTTGAACTGCCCCTGTAAACTACTGAGCACACTAGAGCTCAGCGCAGTTCCTGACACAGGGAATATGACCCAGTACAAACCCTAATTATTCTGGGACAACTATAGGTTGGGTGGCGTCTATGAAACATCCTGCGGCATGTAATAAAAATGTTGCACACCATGCCAACTATAACTGATGCCACATTGACACCGACACACACGAAGTACAGCAAAGTCCAGAGGTTTCATAAAGACAATTCATGATTATGTCATGTGACTTTTATGGGGAACGACCTCAATTGCCCACCGTATTATCTCTCTCAACTTATAAAGAATTGGCAGAGTCGTGGCAATGTAATCAGCTTGTGCAAACACGTTGTTCACAGATTATACACGGCACCATGCCAGGCCTTCCGGGGTATACACACCGTGTCACGCTGAGGAGTCATCTAAAGGGGAACTTCAGAAACAAAATCGAAATCCGAAACAAAAGAAACAAAAAAAAAAAATTCTCCTTCTGATGCGCATGAAGAAGATAATAAACTGACTATTCTTCGTGCCCATAGTATGACCAAAAAACAATAGTGTGCTTTTTTTTTTTACCCTACATAAACACACTGACTCTGATGCTATGGCTAGGTTCACACTATCACGGCAGTGTGAACTGTGATTTGTATGGGCAAGGCTGCCCATTCATTCTGGGAAAAGTTCCTGCAGAATTTTAGAAATCGCAGCCCGCACGGGAACTGCAAGTGCAGTGTGGTTTCCAATGCAGGCATGATTTGGCATGCCATTAAGATTAACAGCACCCACACACATCTCCTGCGTTTTTCTGGGATGGTGGTGGCGACTGTGGGAACAGGTGCAGTCCCGAAGTGGCAATCACCCGCACAGATGTGAACCTAGCCTAAGGGTCAATCCACTCCAGGAACACGCAGTGCGTTTCTGTGTGATTCACATGCGGTACGATTTCAGTCCATTTATTTTGAATGGGCTGAAGCTGCACTGGACCACAATGTAGTGCATGCATTTGAAAAAACCCACTACAACCAGATCACATGGTGCTTCTGTAGCATGCGATCCAGTGCAGGCAGACTCACTGCGCGCGGGGGGGGGGGGGGGGGTAACTTAACATTAACCCTGCAGATTACTGCATTGCATTTTGAACACGGTGCAGGAAATGCACACAGATTGCGGGTATCCTGTGCCACGTTCTGCTGTGAGGGGCACTTAATCTTAAACCTTTTTTTCTGTTTGTGTATATACACTTCACTAATGAGGAGAAAAATATATATGTATTTTTTTTCTCCTCGAAGAAGACAGCAGCGGGTTCTCATACTAGTGATCACTGTGATTGGCTGTCATTCAGAAACAGTAAGATCAATCATCACTGGGGAGACTTGGTCGTTACCGTGCCCTCAATCAGGGAGATCAACTATCAAGCGCTACCAGAGCAAATATGTAGGATACGTGTTACATCATTGTCAGCGGTGCCATCAAACAATGAACCCTGGTTGAGAATGGCTGGTCCAAATCCCAGCATCTCTTGCACATAGGCTGCCATATTTCCAGTGCCCAGGACGCCCAGGTACAGTGTACAGCCTGCCACTGACATGAATAGTGGTGCAATGCTGTACTCCTAAATATAGCGGTGCGTTAATAAACATGAGTACAGAGTATGGGAAATATGCTCATATGCTGTACTCGTTTTTATGATAGCACTGCCATATACAAGAGTGCAGCATTGCCCAGCCATTCAGGTCAGTGGAAGGCTGTATGCTACACCTGGGTGTCCTGGGAGCTGGAAATACGGTGACAGTTACGCTGAACATGCTCAGCTAGCCTGTGTGCAAAAGCCCTTAGGTGACAAACATGTACTTGTATTTGACCTCATTGACATCTGATCTTACTCAGTGCAAGTTACAACATTTTCTGGCCCTGGGTTAGGGAAACAAATTATACGTTTTAGGCTGTATTCGCACATTGTGTAGTGAGACGTTTTACTGCATTGTAAAATACTGTCACTGCAAGGACACATAGAAAACAATTGTTTCCTGTGTGTCCCAGTCACACTGCAATGCATCCCGGAGCTGCGTTATAATGCAGAGATGTGCTGTGATAAACTGCAGACATGCTGTATTTTATTGCAGTGCACTATACAGAATCGCATGGTGCTGTACAGCAGGACAGAGCAATGTGCTGCTATACAAGGCCATGAGTGATGTGCATGTTTTCTACACTTCAAATACATTTTCCAACACACACTGCGCTGAATTGTGCACCACACTGTCCCCTACTACAGTCGGGAGTAGATGGCTGCTGGACAGGTAAAGCACTTCAACAGCTGTCCTCTGTAATGTGAAATGGTCCTTAAAGTGGACCATTCAGTAACTTTACACCGGAACTTTAGGCTGAGGAATTAAAATTGGCGGACAGGCAGGAATTGTAATGTAGAAGAGACATCCTTTTGCATTAAGACCCTTTCACACTGATGGTCCGATCTGGTCTGCCTGTCCGTTAGTTTTTCACGTGGACCCGGACCACCCATAGACCTCTGTGGACCCGCCAGCATCTGACCCGATCCTGTACACCAAAAACAGATGGATGGTGATCTGTTCCCCATCCATCTGGTGGATCGGAAGACAGTCGGGTGGAAATGGACAGTCTGTTTCCATCCGACCACCCCATAGGAAAAAGAAGGTGGTCTCTGTCTCTGCTCTGCAGCAGTGGAGCGAACACAGACCTGTCATCCGTTTGCTCAGTGGTGATCAATGGAGAGATCCCCTGCTGGGCAAGTGGATCCGCTGGTGGGTCTGTCCCATCTGAAAGGGGCCTAAGGGCCAGTTCACACTATATGCGTTTCCGTTGCTTTTTTTTCTGCATCCAAAATGCACAGAAAGTAGGTTATATGGTTGTCACTGTCACAGTTCACATCAGTGCTTGCAGTGCCAGTGCATTCTGGTTGCAGGAAAAAAAGTAGAACAGGCTGTATTTTTCCTGCACAGAACTGTACTGGAATGTGGTAAAACACATCAAAATTGCACTATAACTCCCCAAAAACGGACTGGAATGCATATGTACCTATTTGAAATTGAAGATAAAAAGGGGAATAAATTAACTGTAACGCACGAGAATGTGTCAAAAATGTGCATGCAGGAACACATCTGGGCTGCATTTCTATAGTGTGAACCGACCCTAAAAGTTACTTACCGGCCTGTCTGCCCTAGAATGTGCACAGCTACAAATTTTGCAATACTAGATCTGACTGAACTCCTGTGCCTGTGTGGGAGTGATGTCATCCCCACCCAGCCAATAATAGAGCTCGAGCATGCCGCATCGCTGGAACTGATGTGAGTATTGTTATGCTTTAAAATTGCATGAACAAATTTCCTGGCATGTCACATTATACAGCAACAGTATCATTTACCAGAAAAGCTCCACCCGTATTTACTTTCTTTGAGCTCCAGTCAGTGCCTGTGCCTAGGCTGAGATGATGTCATCAGTCTGCTGCAGGCAGCAAGGGGCATTTCCTCAATCCCCTCTTCCCCAGTGATTAGACTGTACATTGCAGCTTTGTAGCAGATCACAAGGTGAGAGGTCACAGCAGGAGCTGATCTGTGTCAGACATTTGTGAACACAGCCTAGAACTGACATCAGAGGTGAAGACCCCAGGACGCTTCTAGTTCTCATTCTTGTGACTTGCATGAATTGTAGTGGTATGATGGAGGACATACATTCTGATGCCACTTTTCGGCAGTGCACCACATTACAATGCATTTTGGTTGGTATGTTGGCTGCCATGCTGGTTTGCGGTAATAGTAATGTTAGTTCAATGACGGTGTAAGGTAATGTACAGAGAAACCATGCCTGCACTAAGATGCTGTCATCAGAGCATTGATGATGATCTAATGAACGACAGTATGATGATGAGGGCGCTGACATCTTGATACATTGCTGTACAGGGGATATCTGACGTCACATCTCTTCCATCATGACATAACATTGTCATTCACATCCTACAGCGGCTCAGCCCGATCTGTCTTCCAAGCGCGGAGCACGCTGATACAACGCAACCCTCAGCGCTGCGGGAGTCCTGACGTCACTGTGCTCGCCTAGGCTTAGGGGGCTCTGACGTCACCGGTGGGTAGAGCTGCAGCGAGTTGGTAAGGGGGGTGACGTCACTCTGGTGGAGGCGGAGCGGGATGGAGAGCCTGGCACAGCAGCAGAGAGCACCGGGGCACCAGGTAACCCGCATCACACCCGGGGGAGGGAGGAGCCTGGGCGCTTATTATAGAGGGGTCACGTGGCTGTAGAATAAACATCCCTCTGACAGATCAGCCTTCTTATATAACATCGTACAGCAGTGACGTCACATGTGACCTGTCCCATCACATTGCCCTGTATATAATCCCCATCATATAGGAGGATACGGGGCTCTGTATATATAGGAATTTGTACTATAGATTCAGCATTGTCCCCTATAGAGGTCAGATTTTATATAATCCCAATCATGTAGGAGGTTACAGGGCTCTGTATATAGAGAGATCTGTACTATAGATGCAGCATTATCCCCTATAAAGGTCAGATTTTATATAATCCCCATTGTTAGGAGGATACAGGGCTCAGGGCTCCCCTGTATATATGAGGGATCAGGGCTCTGTATATTGAGGGATCTGTACTATAGATTCAGCATTGCCCCTATAGAGGTCAGATTTTATATAATCCCAATCATGTAGGAGGTTACAGGGCTCTGTATATAGAGAGATCTGTACTATAGATGCAGAATTATCCCCTATAAAGGTCAGATTTTATATAATCCCCATTGTATAGGAGGATACAGGGCTCTGTATATAGAGGGATCTGTACTATAGATTCAGCATTGTCCCCTATAGAGGTCAGATTTTATATATTCTCCATCATATAGGATGCTGCAGGCTCTGTGTATTGAGGGATCTGTACACTCCGCTATGGACACAACATTGTCCTCTGGAGGTTGGATCTTGTATATTCTCCTTTATAAAGGATTCTGCAGGCTCTGTATATACAGTAGAGTGTCTGTAGCCTGAACTATAGATTCAGAATTGTCTACTATAGAAGTCAGATTTTTTATAATCCCCATCATTTTGGATGCTGCAGTCTCTGTATATAGATGTATCTGTATACTCAGCTAGAATCCCAGCATTGCCCCATATAGAGATTGGATTTTACTGTATATAATCCCCATCATATATGATGCTATATGTATATATTTGTACACTCAGCTATCAATTTAGCAATACCCCTAGTAGAGGTTAGATCTTAGATAATGCCCATTATATAGGTTACTGTGGGCTCTGCATATAGATGTATCTGTGTACCTAGCTAAAGATCCAGCATTGTCCCCCTATAGAGGTCAGACCATGTATAATCCCTATCATATAGGATGCTGTGGGCTCTGTATATACATGTATCTGTATAATAAGTTAAAATAACAAGTTATTCTTATTTTATAGAATAGCGTGGGCACATTATTTAATCTATACAGTGCAGCTTCAAGTACAATTATCAGTGCGTCTATATCTATATAACGCATATATCACTGATATTCCTCTTATTAATATTATGTCTCCCATATATGACTTTATCTTACATCCATACTGTCTACTATAATCCCCCACACTGGCTGCTAATAGTATCCTGCAATCACATTGGCCTCATTATACGCTATATTGCTAAAATTATTGGGACACCTGCCTTTACACGCACATGAATTTTAATGGCATCCCAGCCTTAGTCCATAGGGTTCAATAATGAGTTGGCCCACCCTTTGCAGCTATAACAGCTTCAACTCTTCTGGGAAGGCTGTCCACAAGGTTTAGGAGTGTGTCTATGGGAATGTTCGACCATTCTTCCATGTCAGACGAGAAGGCCTGGTTCACAGTCTCCGCTCTAATTCATCCCAAAGGTGTTGTATCAGGTTGAGGTCAGGACTCTGTGCAGGCCAGTCAAGTTCCTCTACACCAAACTCGCTCATCCATGTCTTTATTGACCTTGCTTTGTGCACTGGTGCGCAATCATGTTGGAACAGGAAGGGGCCAGCCATCCCCAAACTTTTCCAACAAAGTTGGGAGCATGAAATTGTCCAAAATTCTTGGTATGCTGACGCATTAAAAGTTCCCTTCACTGGAACTAAGGGGCCAAGCCTTACCACTGAAACACAACCCCACACTATAATCCCCCCCTCCACCAAACTGTACATTTGGCACAATGCAGTCAGGCCAAGTACAGTTCTCCTGGCAACCACCAAACCCAGACAGGTCCATCAGATTGCCAGACGGAGAAGCTCTCATCACTCTAGAGAACACGTCTCCACTGCTCTAGAGTCCGTGGCAGCGTGCTTTACACCACTGCATTGACTCTTTGCATTGCACTTGGTGATGTAAGGCTTGGATGTAGCTTGCGCGGTCATGGAAACCCATTCCATGAAGCTCTCTATGCGTGCTAATCTGAAGGCCACACGAAGTTTGGATGTCTTTAGCTATTGACTCTGCAGACAGTTTGGCGACTTTTGCGCACTGTGTGTGTGCTTCAGCATGCGCTGACCCCGCTCTGTCATTTTACATGACCTACCACTTTATGGCCGAGTTGCTGTTGCTTGGACTTATCGCACAGGTGGCAACCTATCACGGTACCACGCTTGAATTCACTGAGCTCCTGAGAGCGACCCATTCTTTCACAAATGTTTGTAGAAGCAGTCTGCATGCCTAGGTGCTTGATTTTATACACCTGTGGCTATGGAGGTGATTTGGAACACCTGAATCCAATGATTTGGAGGGGTGTCCCAATACTTTTGTATATTTATTTATTATTATTTCAGGTACTTGTATAGCACTGTCAATTTACACAGCGCTTTACATATATATTGCACATTCACATAAATTCCTAACCCTCAAGGGGTGTACAATCTAAATACAGATACTAGGGCCAATTTAGACAGGATTCAGTTTACCTACCAGCATGTCTTTGGAGTCGGCATCATGTGATTCTGGAACATGTATTTTGTTTGGGACCCTGCGGCTCCACATTCTGCCCAGCTGTGTCTGATCTGTGTCCTGTAAATCATATTTCTGTTTTCATTGTACATTTAGTGATTTGGGACATAAATCAGAGTCATTCCCTTTTCATACCAAGTTATCAAATATTTACTCTGTATCCGAAGTGAATAATGACAGACAGCTGTCAGGTGAGGATGCATTGGTTGGTATGGAGTGATATAGCTTGATATACCTGGGCCCCAGGGCAAGGTGTGAGCAAGGGCCTGTGAGGGGCATTTTTTTACTCCCTGATCAGATGGACTAACCTCCACCACTATGACTCCGATTTTATTATACTGCTCTATTACTTCCCAACCCTCATATCCCCAATGTCATCCCCACCCCCAAATCCTTAACTCCCATCTGTACCCCCTATAACAGCCCCCTAATTCCATTTATTTCTCTCCTCCATCTCTATTCCCCAGTACTTATAACCTCCTACTCCATCCCCACACCAAGTTCCTTCACCCCCTCTTCTATCCCTACCCTCAATTTCTATAGCCCCTCTCCCATCCCCACTCCTCAATTCTGATAATCCCCTCCCCACCCCGTTGTAGCTATTCTCTCCTCCTTTCTCCACCAACCCTAATTCTTACAGGCTCTTGCCATCTCTGTTCCCTGTGTATGCCAAATACACCTTCACCTTCACTTCCTGTCCCAGAGATGCAACAGGAAGTAAGCAGAAATTTTTAAAAAGCAAGGAGATATCCTCTTGTATACAGTTGTCACCAGAAATAGCCTCTTCATTGGAAATTTTCCCCTCATCTCCTATTCCAGTGACAACTCAAACATTTTGGTTTTCCTATTAATGTTTTCTTCAGCTCTCCTCTTTATAACAGTAAAATGAATTTTGTTGGAACTCAGTGCTGTGTATGGTTTACAGTCCTATTCTCAAGCAGATCCAAGGCCAAAGGTTTTGAGAGAAGTTTAATTATATTTATTGTCAGATATTTTTATTGTAAAACTTTTTATTATGGCCATGATGGAGAATTGATGAGAAATAAAATCAGCGACAATCTTGGGTCGAAGGTGACTGCCTTGTTTTGCTCTGTGAATATTATTTTATTTTAACAAGGCTGTATTCATAATTTCATCGTAAAAATTTGGATGAAAAAATATTTCACAAGAGTGGAAAAAGTTTAGTGTAATGTACCGTGACGGGGCCTGGTAACCGGAGCGCGTATTGTCCATGTGGAGTTAATGATTACAAGGATCCCCATTCATAATGGCTCTATTACCATCTAAAACTGCTATTGTGCACAGTCCGAGAACAACACTGTAATAATGCAGCAAGGTTACCTATAGAATAAGTGTGCTTTGTTGATGGAACGAGCCCCAACCACACAGTGTCTGTAAAATGATATGTTCAACAAGGTTTCTGGGATACTTGAATTATTGAAACATGAGAATTATTGATCCTGACCATTCCTGGTATAATGCAGTGGTACAGTGATACCATGCAATGCTACTTGACCCCCATCTAGGTCTGCAAAATGTGTGTATGTGTATATACAGTTGCAAGAAAAAGTATGTGAACCCCTTGGGATTACATGGAGTTTAGCATGAATTGGGCATAAAATGTGCTCTGAATGTCATCTAAGTCACAACAATAGAAGAACACAGTCTGCTGAACATAATACTACACAAACATTAGATGTTGCCATGGTTTAATTGCACATAACATGTAAACATTCACAGTGCAGGGAGGAAAAAGTATGTGAAGCCCTAGCTTAATGACTTCTCCCAGAGCTAATTGGAGCCAGGAGTGAGCCAACCTTGACTCCAATCAGTGTGATGATATTGGATGTGTTTGCTGACAGCTGTCCTGCCCTTAAAAAACACACACCTGTTTTGGGTTTACTGGTTTCAAGAAGCACTGTCTGATGTGGACCATGCCTCGCAGAAAAGAGCTATCAGAAGACCTACGATCAAGAATTGTTGACTTGCATGAAGCTGGAAAGGGTTACAAAAGTATCTCCAAAAGCCTTGATGTTCATGTGTCCACGGTAAGACAGACTGTCTACAAATGGAGAAAGTTTAGCACTGTTGCTACTCTCCCTAGGCGTGGTCGTCCTGTAAAAATGACTGCAAGAGCACAGCGCAGAATGCTGCATGAGGTAAAGAAGAATCCCAGAGTGTCCGCTAAAGACCTACAGAAATCTCTGGCACAT